TTAGTCGATTTAATATCATTACTTCTTAGATTTAAAAAGCTAATAAAAAAAGCTAATAATAAACGCAAATATTGTGGTTTTGTAATTAACGCAAATGTGTATTTTTTGGACTAGTGCTAAGTTATATTTTCAATAAACTTGTACTTGTTTGATAAGTATCTAACTGTTAGATACAACAGGAACTTACACAAATATTTATTTCCTGATGGTATTCCTCAAGTTTTTTTTTTTTTTTTTTACTAGTATTAAGGTATTATACAAGTGAACTAGTGCCTTTTCTCAGCAGTTTGATATTTAGATACTTTAACACAGCAGAAGACGTATTAACATGTTTTGAATTTAGGAGTTAGTGAGCTCAAAGCAAACCTGGGTTAAAATAGAGTAGACTCATACTAATTCAAACTAGACAAAAAAGTAACTAGTTCTGTTTTGAAATGAAAATCTTGAAGAAAAAGTCTCACTACTTTGATTGGTACCAGTTTGGCATTTTTCGGACTAATCAAATGTGTTCGACTAGTGGACTAGTACTTTTACCATACTACTACTACTAGTACTCTTTGACCATTGGAGACATACTGTATAAACTATATAAGCCAAATATATGTTTCTGTTTACTTGTTTTGTTTTGGTCAACATTTGTATTAGTATACTTTTTATTCCGAAACAGGCTAGTACCATGCAAAACCGAAATGTAAATACTTTTCTAGTGTAATAATATTTTTTTAATCAGTTGAACAATAGCATAATATAGGTACTCCTTATTTTATAGTTAACGAACTTGGTTAATACAACTTTTGACAAAAATAGACTAGTCTCTTACTAGTTCATATCGGACCAAAAAGCTTCCAGTATCTAACTGTTAGATACAACAATGAAAATCTTACAAATTAAATTGAGTTTTATATTAAAAAAATATTTGTTAATTTTTCAACCAGTGTCAAGTTAATGTACTAGGGAACTAGTTACGTTTTCTGGTTGGTTATTACATGAGACATATAAACTGTTTTCTTTTGCTTCTTCATTTTGTGGTTAGTAATTTTGGTTAACGTTTGTGTTAATATGCCTTACGGCACTTTTTAGTGCTAACTGACTTTGGTCATATTGCTTTGCTGTTTGCAATTTGAGTTGAGTAGTTAGTTGATAGTTGGCGTTGCTACTACAGAAGGAGTGTTGGCACAAAAGTTATAGCTACTAGTAGACATGACTCCGCCAGTCAGTGGAAATTGCAATTATTATTGCTAGTTTTTTTATTATTATTATTCTTTCTTTCCTTTTTTTGTTGCACTTCTGTCAGCGGCACTCAATTGTCTGCTCTGTCTGCATTTTAACTGCCTCCATATGAATTTGCTGTGAAAATTTTTTGTAGCAAACTTACGTACGTACATGGACTCATATGAATTTATATTTATTTAACTGCGAATTCTGAGTTGCAGTTTATTAGTAATATAGCCAGACAGTTTTGGCATCAACAACACTGAATGAGTTGGAGTTTATTATTGCTTTTTATGCTTGAAATTAAAAGGAAATAAAAAAAATTATCTGCAGTTGTCAGTATAGAAAGTTGATATCTTGATGAAAAAAAAAATATTTACGGATTAATTATAAAATTTTAAATATATGAAATTCATTAGAATAGCTCTCTCGCTCCAGTACAACGGGCTTACGGTGCATCAATGGAGAGTCTGCATATTCAATTTCCTCTAGAGTGCAGTTTTGGTTTAGGAAATCAGTTGCGAGGCCCTTAACGATCAACAAGTGTTTTTCCGCTTATAATGGCGCTTGATCTCAAGTTTTCCAGTCCGACCCATCGAAAACAAAACCGACAGAAGTCAGTTCCTAGAAACGTCAGCTCACAATATTTCTCTCGAGGCAGTCGACTATTCGTTTATGATTGGCATGAGTTGAGTTCAAAATTATTATCAAGTTAGACGGCTTTCAAGGGACACACATCATATTTAAACTCCTGCCTTTTGATATGAAATTAACTTTGTGACGCACTATTAAAGCAAAAACAAATTAAAGCTGGAAATGCTGCATTTAACTGCAGTGAGTTGGTGGCGCTCACTTGACTGCCTGCCTGCCGCACTGTTGTTGTAAACGTACCACAGTTACTTGCTAGTCAGCCATGTTGCAGCAAGAATTCGGAAGCATCCACACGCACACACACTCACACTCACGCAGATAGCGTCATTTAATTGTTAAGTGCATGCTACAGTGAATATTTTGAACGCGTGACGGAATGAAAACCGAGTGAATTATAGCGGATGGTGCCTTATAGTTGGACGTCAAATGCATAAGCACACGCACAAGTAACTTGCGGATAAACGGACTAGTTAAAAACTACTTTAAAGCAAGTATATCAAGGTAGTGCAACTAATTTAATTTTTTTCAAACAAGCAGCGCTAACGTGTTGTTTAAGACCAATTAGTTGGAAATGTATACTAGTCCGACACTAGTTCATATGTGATTATTAGTTTGGTTTTGCTTCAAAATTAATATTTTGTTTGTTTTAAATAGATATTTGAATAATTGAAATGTAAAAATCCAATAAAATGCTTTTTATTAATCAAATATTAGTTATAAGCCATCAACGCTGAAAACATTTTTATTTTATTTTTTTAATTTTTATTAAAATTTAAATAAGCAATTTAAATTAGGCGTTTTCAGATCGACTTTTGGATTGAAATAAATTTTGTATTTTACGAACTGGTGTCATTGAGGTCTAGTGGAAAACTAGACGTGTTCAGACCAGTTTGATATTTCACTGCAAGATGCACACACACACACACACACATACATACGACAGCATACCGAATTAGTAGCAGCGTATATGCAACTACTGCTTGCAACAGCGACTCAACAACGAGCAATTATAATTGTCACGCAATTGTCAAGCCAATACGCTGGCAGTCAGTCAGTCAGTAGACGTTCCAGCTTAGCTCGCTCGACTCCAAATGGTGTAACCATCAAACTACAAGTTAGCCCTGCAACATATTCAATGCTTGCTACATTTACCAAAGAGCAACAATAAAGCAGCAGTTACTGTATGTTGCATGCGCAAATTACATACATACAGTCAAATGCATGCATGCATGCACATATATGTATGTATGTATATGATAGCAATCATGTGGATGCAACAGATGTGCGCAGCTTATTCATTTGCCTCCAGCTATTAATTCGACTACTTTATGTGCGATTATTCATTGAGGGCATGGGTTCGTGTGTGCGTGTCTCATATTGTTAGTTGCGTGGCCGTTTATTGTAGTGTCGTGCATTTTCATGCTTAGCAAGTTGCAACTCCACTTCACATACATACATACGTGTACGTACTCGTACATACATATTTAAAGGCAATAAGTAATAAAACAGAAAACAGAAGACAGAAGACAGGGAATGACGCCTCTGCTTATGCCCTGAGAGACGCTCATAATTGGTCGTCATTTGCTCGCCAACAATAAATTAAAATTAAAATTTTATGCTTTGAGTAGAACTTCACGCGCTCATAAATTCAATGAGAGATATGCATTTAAAGTGAAGTTATTTTATTGCTTCGTTTCCTCGCCACACTCGAGATATGTATGTATGCATGCATAGCTATTTGAGATTTCTTTTTTAGAAATATATTTTCTGTGGGTATTTAATAATGAGCTTTGTTAAAAACGAATTATTTTATTTTTCAAAGAAAATGTAATTATTAAATAATTGGAATAATTAGAAAAATATTGCCGAAAATTAGATTCTTTCTCAATTAGCAGTGATTTCGATGAACATGTGTCGATTTTCCAATAAATAAAATAAAATAATAATAAAAAAAAACAAAAAATAATAATAAAAAATGAAAATTAAATTTAAATAGTTTCCTGTGAAATAAATATAATAAAATAAGATAAAATTAATTAAAATATATAAATATTTAAAAGAAAAGTAAAAGAAAAATCAGAAATCAGAATGAACATGTGTCGATTTTCCAATAAATAAAATAAAATAACAACACAAAAACTAATCATAAAAAATAAAAATAATATTTAAATAGTTTCCTCTAAAATAAATATAATAAAATAAAACAAAATTATCCCAAATAAATAAATATTTAATAGAAAAGTAAAAAAAAATCAAAAATCAGAATGAACATGTTATTGGAAAATCGAATAAATAAAACAAAAAAACAACACAAAAAATGATAATAAAAAAAATTAATATTTAAATAGTTTCCGGTAAAATAAATATAATAAAATAAAAAAAAATTAATTAAAATAAATAAATATAATAATCAAAAATTTAAAATACAATAAAGTGATTTATTTCAGATTTTCAAAAATTATTAAAAATTTAATTAAAAAGTGGAATAGAAAAGAATTCAAACTAAAACAAATTAAAAGGAGTGCGTATGTATTTGGAAAATCGTTGAGGTAATTTTTCCGATTTTTTAATGCATAAATACTCTATGATTCAATAAAAAAATTAAATGCAAAAGTCTAAAAACTGTTATTTCGAGTTTATTCCAATCTTGCGTTAATTTTGGGACACCCTTAAAAATTAGCCTAAAGCATAGAATTAAATAATAAATATAAAATTAAATAACGTAACGCAAATTAAAATAGAAAGATTGAACAAAAAGCGTATAAAATAAGGGGGAAAAAATAAACCAAAGAATATAATAACTCTTTTCATACATTTAAGCTTAAAAATGGTAAAAAAATATAACGAAAATTACAGTTTTTTTCTGTATACACAACGCAGTTTTGAAATGATTTCGCTGCTATGATTTAACAAAATTTACCAAACCGCATTCAAACAGTCAAAACTCTTAAAATCCAATTAAAAATTTATATAGCCATAAAAAGTTGTATTCTAAAGATATAAAGAAATAAAATAATAGTTATAAAACTATAACATTTTGAGCTTAATATTGATATTAATTAACAAACTCTAAACGTTTTATGATAAACATATAAAAGTTAAAAAAAGAAAATCATAATTTTTTTAAATTTATTTTTCACAATTTTTTTTTAATGTTGATAACGATATTCTACACTTACCGTTTGCTTGATAAACGTTTGTTTGTTTGTATCATATGTATGCATGTATTAGTGGTCTCTCCAATTACGCATTTAACGTTATATGAATATTTTAATGATTGTTAATTTGATTGGTTTAAACGTTTTTATTTTACCGCATTTTTTTCACTCTACTTTGTTGCTTATTGCTTTATTGCCACTTTGCTTTATCGTGGCTACCACGAATTGTGTGCCACCACAGCTGCACTTATAATGTGGTTATTTGTTTTTATTATTCTTGTTGAATTTGTTAATTTCGATTTTATTGCTTTTATTGTGCGGCTTATTTGATGTTGCAATACAATTTTATTGTTGCATTTATTTGTTTTGCATTCGCTACCGCAGTTGTCAACGCGCATATTCGGTCTGCGCTCACGTGAGTTGAAAGGAAATTGTACACTTTTGTTTGAAAATTTTATCTGCAAAGATTGGTAGAAGTGAAAAAATGTTAATGCTGTTTTTTTTCATTTAATTTAATAATTTATAATTAATGAACATATTTGATACGCATGCGTAGTTTGTGAAAAATATTTTAGGCCAAATGGGACGACTTTTTATGGTGTAAATAGTGGAAAAATATCGGTGTAGTAAGAAGAGAAGATCCATAATTTTTGCATAAAATTTAATGGTTTAATTTTTTCTTTTCGTTTCCAGATTTATTATAATGGTAAACGAAACATTAAGTCCATATGCAGGAATGGGCTGCAGACTTGACGTTGCATTTTAGAAGGTTGTTTGTATTTTCCGCTCAGCCGGATTTGACTTGTAGGGTAGGCCAAGGGGTTAGCCAAAGGATTGGGAACGAAAACTGAGATATTATAACCAACTTTGGAACAAAAATGGGGTCCATCTAAATCAAACCACTATTCAGATATGAGATTTTGGATCAAAAATCCGTCAAAAGAGCATCAAACAATTTTTTTTCCACAGGTGAAGAGACACCGTCTTCGCTATTATAGCCGAATTCATGAAATTGCACCATTCATTCATTTTTTTCGCTGTTTGGCGCCAATTGGAGATATAAAGTAGAGCCAGGTCCCTCTCTACTCTCAAAGCTGGAGTATTCTTATCCAGCCGGACCACATTACCTAGCCAGCCCAGCCGCTGTTTCTTTATTCGCTGCAATATTTCAATGTCGGCCGCGATATCGTAGTATATCTCATACAGCTCATCATTCCATCGACTGCGGTATTCGGTAGCTCGACGAGGACCATAAATCTTACAAAAAACCTTTCTCTCGAAAATTCCCTACGCCAACTCATCAGATGTTGTCATCGTCAATTCTTCCGCACCATTTAGCAGGACGGGAACGATTAAGGACTTGTAGAGTTTGGTTTTTGTTCATGGAGAGAGGAGTTTATTTTTCTATTGCTTACATGGTCCGAAGTAGCAACTGTTGGAAAGAGTGGTTTCTGCACTGGATTTCCAGGCTGACATTGTTGTTGGTGTTAATACTGGTTCCAAGATAGACGAAGTGACGTGTGAGCCGAGTCGCGAATACGTTGAGTGTTTGTGTGAGATTTGTCTTGTCCTCGTTCGCTGCCAGACCCATATCCTTCGCTTCCTTAGCCAGTTTGGAGAAAGCAGAATTCGCGGCTCGGTTGTTGAGGCCAATAATGTTTATATCATATTCGCATGCCAGCAGCTGTGCACCAGCATAGAAGATTGTAACTTCTCTATTTAGCTCTACAGATCGTATTAGTTTCTCCAGCAAACCCTGTCTGAAGCCTCGCTTTGTATCAAACTTATCGTAAAGGTCGGAGGGGCGGTGTTTTTAGTTTTGCTTAACGTGAGTTTACACAGCCGTATAAGTTTTGCGGGCATACCAAATACGGAGATAGCGTCGTAAAGGCAGCTCTTATTCGTGGTGTCAAAGACGGATTTAAGATAGATTCTCCTTTCACAGGTCTTCTCCAAGATTTGGTGCTTGGTGATTTATTAGGTCTAAAGCCACACTGACGGTGAGCTGAAGTCTTTCACACAATACGCTCGACAGGACTTTATATGCGATATTTGGCAGTCAAATCTCACGGTTCTTGGTGGGACATCAGATGTAAAACTTAATATTTAATCCTTAAAAGCAATACAACCAATTTGATATGATCGCGTAGTGTATAAATGCTTCGACCAGGCGGGAGAAGCGCTTCTTTTTTGGCCTAGTTTAAGATTCTTTCACTTTCACTTTCATCTGAACTTCATTAGTTAGTAGGCAGAACAAGAATTCATTATGAGTTTGGAACCTAACACTATTCTTATATGTACATATGTATGTATGTATCTCTGTAGTGGTTAAGAAACAATCGGACTCAAGGAGGTCTGTAGGTAACTTCGTATGTGAGATAAATGTGAAATATCCATTAACAATAGCAAAGACAATTATATAAGTCAGACTGTAAATTTATATAACATGCATGGATATGTGTGTGTGCGTGTGTGTGTGTATGTGTGCGGGAAAGTGTCGCTTATCATTTAGCGAATTTTCCGCCGCACATTTGTCTCCAACGGAATGTGTCGTGTTGGCGGGTGTCGCGGTCAATGCTTTTCTCGCCATTAACAAACACACTTAAGTACAAACATACGATATGAATGTATGAATGTATGTGCCCATATTTGTTGTAACCACATTTAAGCATAAGTATACGCACGTTGACGTGACGTGGCAATACCAACAGCAATAACAACAACAACACTACATGTTTATGAGCATCGTTAAACGCCTGTCGTTTGTCGCTTGTCGCCCGTCGCCCGTCACCCGTCACCCTTTAACCTTCACCACACGCCACAACAACCACAACCGCGTGAGGCGTTGCGGTTTTCGCCATACTGCCGTTAGTTAATGTTGCCCATTGCACCAACATAACGATGGTCGACGTCGTCGCCATCTAACTGTAACTATACGACATACTCGTACGATGTTGTTTTCTAATGTTGCCATCCAAGGAGCGTTGACATAGTGAAGCTTTTAATGCATGCTTACATACATACATAAGTGTATGTAGCTACGCATTCACTTGCATATATTTGCATGCATACATTTTTAATATGAACTCGTACATATGTATATGTATTTGCACTTTTTATGGCTGCTTCATTTGTTGGCCATTTAAACGGTCGCCGGTCGCCGGTCGGCGGCTGCGTGCTTGCATAAATGCGTATTTAAGCGCAACACTTGCAGTTCTCCCTGCGCTATTTACATACTTGACTAGGGATGTGCTTATGTGTATATATGTATGTATGTAAAGATGTATATGTTAAGTATGTTTGCCTTCATTCATTCGTGCTCCCGCCACTTGCCTCATATTGTGTTGCATGTTTGTTTGGTTAAGCGTTCGGCCACAATGTTATTGTTATTGTTGAACTTTGTTGCCTTTTGCAGCAGCTATTATAGTTGTTGTTGTCGCTCTTAGCACATTATTGTGTGACAGTGTCCTACCCGACCGCTGCTGCTGCTGCTGCTGACACATTTGTTGTCTTGTCTTATTTGCTTCTGTGCTGCTGCTACTTGTTCGTGTTACTTATGCCACAACCGCAACGCAACAACGTCATTTAAGTTGTTGCACACACTCATGCTCACCGAGCGACAGATAGTGAAACATTTGCATGCATCTATACATACATATACGAGTATATGTGAAAGACGGAAGCTCCAAAAGTGCAATTTGGGTGAAAATCGCCAAGTCGTCGGGAAGTTTCTTTCCCATTAACTTTCTTTCATTCTAAATTAGATAAAAGTTGATCGGAGCCATCTCGGTACTGTAGATTGAGTGCGTCGATTGTGCTGAGCAAGTTTTGCAGGCCTTTTATTGGCTCTATGACCACGATCTTTTTGCTGTGAAAACATTCGTTTCTTCAAATCATTTTTTTTTTCAAATCTGAAGGCCGATAAAGATACTCAGAGCCATGCGGTTGTGTAAATTGAGATTGTTAAAGTTCTCAAAATGATACATGGTTATCGACTGAAATTTATGTGCTGATCTAAACGAGGTTAGGTCGCTTAAAAGATGGCAACGGTTGGCCGGATAAGACCCGAGTCAACTGTATTGCGCTGGTTCTTATAACTGTTGGTTAACTTTACTCCTTCTCAACTGTTTTTTTTTTCGATTCGATGAAGATCGAGAATGTGGGGTGTCCCATCAGCACTGCTCTACAGAGCCAAACTTGTATATGACATCCTTCTATGTTTTATTAAGCTTGCGAAGTATCCTTCGGCTATTTTGCTAACCTGTTTCCTTTATTTCACGCAGGAATATTGGCTCCCACGATCCCAAAAAAGAATAACCACCACTCTTGCGTCTGAATCTAGCACATTGAGCACCTGGTTTGAGGATGTATGTACCTTGACAACTCATAAAGGAGACACGCTAAGGAGCTGAAATTTCATCGGCATAATGCTGATGACTAGTCCTTAAGTGGTATGGTACTAACTACACTTAACCATGCCACGAGCTTTTAGTGTAGCGTTCGTGAAGTAGGTTTATATATTTTGTTATTGTAATTACGTTTACATACAAATTATACGCAAACACGCATACATACAAACATTAAAGTGTAATAAGTAGTGAAAAAAAAAACTAAGTTCAACGAAGTTCACTTGAGTGCAATCCAACTGGAACGTTAGTTGGGTTGGGTCGTGACGACCCGTCAAACTTTATTGCTAAATTTGCATAGTTGTTTTGTGACTTCTCCACACCCAGCAGTAGGAAAATAATAGCAGTAGTAGTAGTAGTAGTAGTTTACGGTATAAGTGGGTCAACATAAAAATGTCAAATTCATCTGTTCACAATCACTCATTCACTCACTCAGTCATTCACTTAGTTGCTCAAAGTCCTCACTTCCTCCACAACCGCATCCTCAAGCCAGTCAGTCTCATTCACACAAATTGTGTTGCCGACACTGCAGCCATCACCACCGCCGGTGCTGCTGCTATTTCCCTGTGTCAAAGGTCAAATGCGGCTTTGCCCGATATTTCCAGCTCTTACACCGGCAACTTGCAATACCCAAGCGCACCAAAAGCTATATAAATAACACAACCACATCAGGCTCCCAATTCACTTGCCGCGCCCGTAGTTGACCTAAATAACTATTGAATTTTTTATATAATTTTTTTTTTCTTTCGTTCTCTCTTTGGTGTCAACGCCAACTACGACAATATTGTGGTCGCTATGCGCCTTTAAATATGCTACAAAAGTAAACCGCAAAAGTTGAAATTGCCAGTAACTAGAGAATTGTATGCTTCCATTTATCGATACTGCTCTAGAAAACGAACGAAATGAACGAACGAACGATAGCAGAGTAAATAGCAAAAATACAACAACAACAAGTGTGGAAAAGCAAAAATATGGCACACAAAAACATTTTACCAACAACAATGACATATATACTATAGCTACAAAACGCTTTTCATTTATCGTCTGCTTCC